CTCTGTTGCCAACAACAGCACTGATAAGTCTAAACTGACAGGACAGTTACCAAAGGGCTGTCGCAATCATGTAACTGTAGACTATAGTTGTATAGTCATATATACTGATACAAAAAAGAGCAAAGGAAATGCCAGCAATAGCAACACTCACAAGAAGAAGCACTGATAAATCACAGATCCATACCAAGAACAGTGGCGGTTCCTTAACAATGTGCATACAGATCATCCATGTATGCAAACATGCATACTCACATAAGTTCTCTGATTCTTGCTTTCCCGCTAGTTTAATTTTGATTTTACTTTCTTTGCTTGCTTGCTTGCCGGGGGCCTGAGGATCTCCTCGTTCGCCTCCTCCGGCCTCTCCTCGTCCACCAAGGTCCCTTGCCATCAGCGCTTCTCTTTGTCAGGGCTGTGGCCGAGCAATCGTTACTTACACGGGTTTACGTCTGAATTCGGTGCTCCGCTTTCAGGAAAGTTCTTGAAGCTTGAGCTTCCTATGCCCCAAACCGTTGGGGTGCAAATGCCGCAGTAGTTCGCCGCTTCGGCGTGCTTTCGCGACCCCTCCAAGCCCATGCGGTGTCGTGGGGACCGTGCTCAAGTGGGACACGCTTCTTCCACTACCTGCGAGGTCCAACTTAGAAGCTTTCAGCCGCGACCCCACGCCAGGACAGAAGAAGGAAGGCGGCGAGGAGGTGCCTGGTTTGCACTTGGTATACCAGAATCCGCCCTGGGCGACAAGGAAGTAGACCTGGCGAGATGTGCTCACAAAATCCTGGCACCGGCTCTTCAATCGAAGGAATTTAACAAACTGCACCGGAAACATGTCTGCCCTGCCAGGCATGATGAGCAAAATCTTGCATTGCTCTGTCGGCCACCCGAAACAACCACGGTTGGGGCTGTGGCAACATGCTAAAGATGCACTTTCAAAATCTGTGGATTCTCCAGACTAATGCCACCTTCATTCTGAGCCTAGACCGTGCAACTAAGACATCACAAACGGGCTCTGAAGATGATGTCTTACCGGCAAAGAGACCCAACAGACTCCGCGGGCCTGAAAGGCCTGGAAGGTCACCTTTACCTCGCACAAGGACGTCTTTGTGTAGGTTTCTATAGTTTAGGGGAGTGGTGCTTCAGAAGCTTACGCCAAAGCAGGGCATTCGAGTACATTGTATAAAGCGGTAGAATCACCACTTTTCGGTGCCCGAAGTACTCATCAAGGTTTTGCAGCGAGGTGCCTGGGCACAAAAAGCTTCACGACACGGACCCATGCGTTCGTCAACTGTGGCATAGGACAATGTCCCAGCCGACTGTCACAAGTAGCAGCCGCTTCCTCTGGCCATAGAAAGCAGTGCCTCCGAAGGTAAACCCTGCTTTTTGGACTCCTATGCACTTTGGGTATGACGGATCTACGTGGCATAAAGCATGCGCATGGAAACAGCTATACTAAACTCACTGTTTCAGCCGCCGAAATTCAACCTAAGTCGAAGTAACCGACTGAAAAGACGACAAGTCCCCAAGGATTTTGAAGACCCCGGGACCCCGCCTGCAATGTGTTCGGAAGCGGTCTAGGCTCCTTCACGCCCTGGCGCACGCTCATGGAGACAGGGAAGTGCGAATGACCTATGTCTCCGGGGTTTGAAGGTTCTCCACAGAAATTCGTTTTCGGTGTTCACAGCAGGCCACGAAACACAAATCGAAGCTCTCACTTTGGGTTCGGCCCTTGCCTTTCTGAGAGGTCTCCTGCTCATGTCTCAAAGCCCCCGAAGAATACAGGTTGTCTGTCTGGGGCTTATGACGATCAGCGTCGTGTAGAAGCCACACGCAAAAGATGAAAAAGATGACGCAACGAAAAATAATGGATCTGGCAAGCACCCAGGCGACATCACAAATTCGCTGTGGTAAAAGGCCTTCAGAAACGAGGCGTCCTTGGGGACAGTCTTGGCAAGGAGCGTTCCACCTAGATACTAGAACCAATTTTCGTGTTGGAGAGGTTGAGGTCTCGGGTACTTAAATATTTCCCAAGCCCAGACAGAATGCACGCGCATCGGCCTTCGATGACTTGCCTTGGCAACTGAAGGGCTCTGGACGGCGCTATGTGGGGCCGACGACTGACTCAACAAAGGGCAGCAGATTACAACAACTATGAGGTTTAGGGCTCAGGGGTTTTGAGGATAGGCTTTGGGGCTGAGTGTACAAGTAGCAGCGCTGAGGTCGAGACTCGTAGCTTCGTCGACCTCCACTGCTGAAACCTGAAAAGCCCTAGAGCTCAAGGCTTTCAGGAAGTCAAGGGTTGGGATCTTCGGAGAATTGCGAATTGATGGATTTCGTTCGGGGGTTTAGGTTTAGGCCACTGCTCTTCCACGCAGGACTTGGTGCTTCGATCGGGAGCGCAAGTCCTTCAAAGTTTAGGAGTTTACAGTGTCTTGGAGTTGAAGCTGTCCACCTTCAATTCACATACTATGTTGACGGAGCACTTCACCGGACTCACGCAGCTGTTGAAGCTCGGTTCGGGAAACTGGATGCGCTTCGCTCCAGCTGCACACTCGGGCTGTTGACGCCAACCCTCGATCCCAAGACTCGAGAGGCCCATGTGCCCAAGTCTACCAGAGGCCTAAAACCAGGTGCACATTGGCCCCTGGGCTCTGGGACAACTTCGAAGGGGTTGCTTTTGCGAGGACTCACCTCTTTACGGTTTTAAGGCTTATTCGGGTGCCAGGACATACTGCTTCTTTCTACGGGGTGCATATTCTGGGCTTGGCTGTGCCTAGATTGGCCTCATCATCGGAACAACTTGTCTATCTGAAAGCATCCCCCTCTGGGTGAAACCTCGTCTGCTATGTCTGAAAAGCGAAGCCATGTCGTGAAACCACGTCACAGTCCCTGAGCTCTTCTGACGATCGCTCGCGCGATTCAGGTGCTTTGGACTCCACCGGCTTCCGGTGCCGGCTCCACCTGGACGCTCACCTGAACAAGAAAATAACAACTGGGTCCGTGTGGTAACAAGTCCAGAGATGGGATGTTGAGGCAGGGTGTTAGAGTTAGAAGTTTCAAAAGGAGTATGTTTTGGAAGCTCACTGATACCACGCCACATACCATAGAAACCAAGGGAGCAAGTTGGGCTCAGGACAGTGATCCCGGCAGCAACCTAGCCAAAAAAACTGGAGAAGAACTGTCCAGATTGGATTCAACTGCCGTAAGTCAAAACTGTTGCAAAGAAGTCTACTCGTCATAGCAGCAACAAAACACCTTGCGACATCCTACAAGCTAAAGTCTGCCACGATGCTCCTACACTGTTACACCATATCCTCAAGGCCCAACTGGCTTAAACCTGCGCAAACCCAGAGCCTAAGCAGACCCTGATAAGCTCGTGTGACTGGCTGACAAGCTTCGAGCGAGCCTTGTGAACCCAAAGCACAAAAGCACAAAGAAACACACCCACCCCACGTCATGTGTAGACGCAGATGCCTTGAGCAGATTCACACGGAAAAGGCCGTCTGTACTGTGAAGTGCCCTCGAGTCCTGGCCTGCTCATGGGCCTTCGGCGCTTGACCATCAAAGAGAGTCTGCAGCTCCTGTGAAAAATCACAGTGGGACCGGGCACACCACCTAACACTGCGTGAGACTATTTGACATATAAAGCCTGCAGGTCCAGCATCCAGATCACCACCTACTCAACCTAGAGCATGGCTGCACTGCGCTTGCTCCTCGGGCGCCTTCTGCAGGTTGACATTGGCATAGTGCTCCTGTGTCGGCTCTGGTAGAGTTTCAGGGCTTCTGCGTTTCGTCCAGGGCTGAATGCTGAAGAGGTCTCCGAATCCCGGAACCCATGTCTTGAAGCACCTTGTCTGGTGCCAGCTACTTGGCAATACTCTGCGGACTGAGGGCTGCTGGGTGATGGCACTCGATTTCACGTGAGATTGACAGTCAAACCTACAATATTCAGCTACGAATACAAAACGCTATTGCCTGCATCTTCCCTAAGTTTAATCGCATAATCCCTACAACACATACGTTCCGCCTTGCAATCACACATCATCCTTCCTATCAGTGGAGCCATCATCTAGCAAGTATCAGCTCTGCTGCAATAGAGGCGACTTTCTAATGCTGGGACTGCTCTGTTCCTTTGCATATCAACTTCGCTGTTGATGACGATTTCCGGAGACCACCAGTTGATGGTCGAGGCCATTGCATATTAATGTTGGGGGGGGTCATCATCAGCATCCAACATCCGAAAAGAAAGCAACAAATCGCGGTTCTGCTTGTTCAGCGGAACTGATTTTCTAAGTTTCTCTATTGCTATCTATTCCCTCTGCTTCTAGCACCCTTGCTGCACGCAGGACTAGGCTTGCGCGGCAGGCGCAAAACAAATCCCTAATGTTTGAGCACGCACGCAATCCACAGTCCCTCTTCACGGACCCCTTCCTCCCTTCCTGCACTCAGTCTATCGCTCTCTCTCTCTCTCTCCCTCCCTCCCTCTCTCTTTTTCTCTCCTTCTCGCTCCCTAAGCGCGTCACTCCTCGTGGAGTTCATGGGCCCAGCCGTCCTTCGCTCCATCGTGCTCCTTTGCTGCGATTGCAGGACGCGCAGTTTCGGGAGCAGGGTTGAATTCTGGACCTCTGGGGCTCACCTATGTCGGCAGATTTCCCATTTGAGGCTTCATGCTCGTTCGGGATGGAAGATCTGGAAACTCGGACTATCAAAAGCAAAAACACAATAATTATGATGTGGATCATTGCTCATATTAGGCAATCATATAGCTAGTTGTTTATTAACTGTAACTGCTTCAGCTTTTCGTTAAGATTTAGGAAGCTTCTGCCAGATGTACCGGCATCCGCCATCGGATGGCGTGCAGACACACGCAGGCAGACATGCAAACATACCTACATACGCTGACACACATACAGACAGACTGGGTTGAGACAGCTTAGCTCCCAAACAACCAACCAATAAACATAACACAGCAACATGCACATCCTAGCAGGATCCCCATGCCAAGGCACGTACTCCAAGATTGCACGAGCCCCGGCCAAGAACTCCCCAGCCCACCTGACGCATCGGGTTGGAAGGCTCAGGCAGCCCTCTTCAAGCTCTAACTATGCAAGCCGAAATCTCCTCCTCCTCCTCCTCGTGCTGCTGCTGATTCCTCGAAGGCCAACGCTTCTACTGCCGCTCCCGCTCCTGCTCCTGAGCTACTGAGCTACTCCTGCTACCAGCTACCACCACCACTACCACCACCACCATACCATCACCGCCGCCACGGCCACGGCTCTTGCTGCTGCTGCTGCTGCTGCTGCTGCTGCTAAAGAAAATAGCTGAATGTGGCCAGCCCACATTTGCAGCGCAAAGCCAGTCGAGTCGGTGCCAAATGGATTCCACAGCCGCGCCGCTACCTTTTCTTGGGCATCTTACCGCAGGAAGTCTAAAGTCCAGAAGGTTTGAGGCATGATGATCGAAGGGGAGGGGAGGGGAGGGCGTTCACGCTGCAGGTTTTGAAAACGCACTTCATGGTTTCAGGGCTTTGAGATTTCTTGCAATTGGGGTTCAGAGATTCGGTACGATGTGTTGCATAAGTCAGCGAAGGTGTTTAAACCTGCCAGGTCGAGGAAGGCCTCAGTCCTGTCTTCATCTGCTGTCATGTTCTGAGGACTAGCAGTGACATCAACCGCATGACGATCCTATCGCACCGTCCTATCTTCAAATGGTTCATGTGGCACTATGAACCTGAGTATGAAGATGCCTTCGAGTCCGCGTGCCTGAGTACGCTTATTATGAACGTGGCGATTGCGACAGTGACAAGAGCGACAGGGACGATGTCCGAAACTTCCACGAAGATGGATGATGCTGTTGTTGATGATGATGATGAAGATGATGATGAAGCCGCAGCAGCAGCAGCAGCAGCAGCAGTAGTTGTTGTTGTTGTTGCTGTAGAAGTAAAAATAGCAGTAGCAGCAGTAGCAGTAGCAGCAGTAGTAGTGGTAGTGGTGGTGGCAGTGGCAGTGGCAGTGGCAGTAGCAGTGGCAGTGGCAGTGGTAGCTGTAGCAGTAGTAGTAGTAGTAGTAGTAGTAGTAGTAGGAGCAGCAGCAGCAGCAGCAGTACTGGTACTAGTACAGCACCACCAGTAGCTCAGTAGCGGAACAAGCAGTGGCAGCAGCAGAAGCCGAAGCCCAAAGCCCATACCCTTCTTTGAACTAAGCCTCAACTGCCAATCTGAAGCAGCAGCGGCCCATATTACACAACTCCTTCCGTGGAAAGACGTTGTAAGGCTGGGAACCTCCGATTTTCGAGAGTCGAAGTGTCTAGGGCTCATGAGCTCTGAGCCATCTAATCGCAAGTTGCCAGCAAGCTGCATCCATCATCCCGAGCAGGATAACACACATGAGCGCGAACATGCCTGCTGGACATCTACATGAAAAAGGCAAAGTATTTGTGTGTATGCTTCGAGCATAGCATACTAGTTATGTCCTAGCTTGCTTGCATCCAGTACGGAAGATTCACCTACTAGCTAATACTTCTAGTTATACTTTGCCGTTAAATTAGTGCTTCTTTTTAACGAAACGGTTATTAACTGGTTACTTAGTTAACCAACCACTGACTCACTCAATCAATTAATCTATCTATCTATCTATTAATCTATCTATCTATCGATCAATGAATCCGTCAAACAAAATCAAACCAAGCCAAATCAGACATGCTCAAATCAAACCTGTCAATCAATCAACCAATTGCATACTCACACAAAGCCCTGCAGCATCAAGATCTACTTACCTATGTCGTTGGGTGACCATGTGACCACTGAAGGCGCGAGAGCACGACAGATACATCAACAGAACGTATGCTGCAGCATGTCCGCCCTTGCCGTCGATACCTAGTTTCTAGTTTTCTCCCTGTCGGCATTTGCTGGCATTTAAAGGCAGCATGTGCCAGCGCAATTCATCTGGTCTCCTTGGTGCCCCAAACCCAAACAATGAGAACGAAGCATTTGGCACAGCGCCCTGCCCATCAGATGCACACAAAGCTCTCGGACCCTTTCCCAAGCCCTTGGCATGTCGGCCTTCAGGTTTCTCGGATTTCGGCATTAAGCCCTCCACCCCGAATTGCTTCGACAAGCTGCAGGGTGCCAGCCAAGACATCGTCATTGCCATTCCAATGGACCTGAGTCGGGCATAGTCTGTTGCAGGCTTCACTTCTGAGTTTAGGGTGAAACCTTGTGGTTGAGGGTCGGAGTCGGTGCAGTGGCGTTCAGGTTCAGGGCTTTGGGTAACTGGATGGCACAGCGACGTACACGTTTGAAGATCTAGAAACATCCGAAACTCCAGGACTTCTCCAGCCGAGGGTGCAGAAACATCAAATCGCCAAAGACCATGACCTGATCGGACACAATCAGGTCTGAATTTGGGGTTCGTGCTTTGGTTTGGGCACCAGAAGTCTAGGGTCTTGGTGTCGGGTATTTGGAGGGCTAGTGTTTAATTTCGGCGAGAACAAAGACAGCGACGACAACCCCCACCACGATCACAACGACGACAAAGACGACCACGGTCGCGTCTGTCTGTTGAACGTGGTTGTTTGCGTGTTGTGGTCACAGTGACAACGTCGTCGGCATGACTGGCATCGCCTCCTTATTGCCGTGTCTGGAACGTGTGTGCAAGAAGCAACTCGCAGAAGACGGCCGAAGATCCACTTGAAGCCGCAAGATATCGGCCACAAGCCGCAATGAAAGGCAGAAGGTGGCGCTGTGCTTTGATCGTGGGGTGGTGATGCCATGGCCATAGCAGGCATCACAGTCATCCACATAGAATGACCCGAATGCTGACAGTCTGAGAACTTGAAGCTGCAAGCCTCAGCCTCGACACCCTTAAAAACCAGTTTACGGGGGGTTTACTCGTCATTCGAACGAGTTCATCCTTCAACGCTGCTTCAGCCCGGGAGCGGTCAGCAAGTGATGGTAGTGAACGGGAACTTTGACTGCAGAAAGGTCCAGCAGATCCTGCCAAGGATCGGTTCCCCGAGGCTTTTGGACATGTCCGCAGTATTTTATATGTTTAGGGTTTAGGGGTTTAGGGTTTAGGGCCACGCTCTAAAGAGCTGTGTAGGGAACGGTCACTGGCAGCTCTCGAGTGCGCTGCTGCCTCAATCGACAACATTGACGGTTCCGTTGCTCCTGGTGGTGCTCCTTGTAAACGAGGAGTCGGTCCACCATTTCTGTAAGGACAGAGTCCCTGGCGGCGTCGGCCTTTCCTTCAGCCTTGCATGGTGGACAGTGCGAAAGCGGGCGTTTTACTTTACGGACCGAGGCACTTGTTCCATTGCTGGCAACGATCGGATGATCTCACTTTGCTTTGAAATGGCAATCCACCTACTAAATTCGGGGTTAACTAGATTGACGCGATTATGGTGCGGAGTTGTGGTTTCGGCGAGGAGTGACACGATGCGGTGCTAAGCCCGTACACAAATTCAGTCTCAGCTCAACTCGTCGCGATCCCGCCGCTTCTTTACGGACGTTTCAGTAGCAGGGCATCGACCTGTAGAATGCAAACATCTGACATGTTCACAGTAAAGGCTCAAGATGAAGATTCCGACGACCCCTTCGAGTACGACCCGTCCCGAGTGGATCGGGCTTTTGGCTATGCACACGCTGCAGAGTTTGGGCAGACGCCCCGGAGGTTGCTACGCCCTTTCGGAAGCTGAGGGGAATCAGAAACGAAGGTTTTAGATTTGGTGGCATGGGATCCAAATCTCAGAAGGGTTATCTGACAATCCCAAACTCGAAAGCTCGTGAAGACAAGCCTGAAAACTACATTCTGACGCTCGAATCCAAAAGCCTCAGCCCAGGACCCTTGCCTCAAGCGCACTTCGGACCACCTCGCCGGCCATCTGTGTGACAACTAGGAGCCTCCCCAAGCCTGCTCAGGGGCGCCCGTCTGGGAACCAAGGATCTGCTGAGGCACCCGAGAATTACCAGGCAACCTCGAGCGCCAATGTAAACCAAAAGGAAGCACAAAGGGTTGCTCCACGAGGGACTGTAGAGTTTGGGGGCCTGTACCCCAAATGCCAGGTCTTAGACCCCGGAGCCCTCGAGCTCAAAGTCGCAAGGGCAGCTATAAGCGGTAACCTCTGGACGGCCTCCCAAACTGCGCAGGAACTCCACCTCCAGGCTCGAAAATCACAATTTTCCGGGTGCTTTTGAAGGTCCAAGGGCAATTTTTGCTTCCGGGGGGAGATGATAGTGGCACTTGCGACACTTGTGAGGAGTTCGAGGCTGAAGCTCACAAGGATGCAACATAAAGAATATCAACAATTATGCTAGTTAGAACTATGAGAACGACGGTTGCCGTGACAATGATGCTGCTAATGATCTTCGAAAATAATAGCACTAGAAGCAATCATCGTGATTGCAAAAGGTATAGCAGTATTGCAATACTAGCAACCTCTTCTATGCTTGCGTAGATCCATTGACAAGTTCTGTAACCCCAAACTGCTAAAATCCTCATGGACGCTCCGCCCGACCATAGCCATGAAGCCCAACGACAACTCATCTGCACCAGCACCAAAAACCCGGGAAGCATCTAAACAGCATGAACAGGCCTTTCGGCCAAGGAATCAGAACTCACACACAGAGTTCTAGCACTCTCGCAGCAGCATCGTCATCGTCACTCTCTCGCGCTCACAATGGGTGAGTTTTCAAAGGAAGAGCATCTGCCGGCAACTCGGTGCCTCGCTCTTCCGCACCAACCCCGAGGAGACGAAGGATTTCCACTGTTGCTCGTCCTGCGGAGTGGTTCAAGGTGTATAGGGCTGCGACAAGGGCCTTCGAGGCAAGAGACGTAGGGCGGGCTTCAGAGATTGGAGACGGGCGGGGGGTTTTCTGGTGGCCACCAACGGAGCCGCTCGGTTGCTGGAGGAGCTTTTGCTCTGGAGTCGCTGAGACGTCGTGGAGGCTCTTCGAGCGTCCGACACCAACTCCGGGATTTCGGGCTCCGGACTGTCGGCTTAGTTCGAACTCCGACTTCGGTTGCAGGCATGGGGTCGGAACGTCAAGCAGTGGGAACATGAAGCCGTCTACCTTTTGCTGCTTTGCTGCTAGACGATGCTGTAGAGCTTCTACCTTTGCCGCCTTTGCCGCACAACGTCAACTCCTGGAATGTGAGACCCATAACGAGCCATAAATGTCAGGCCGCCGACATCCGCAACTTTTCGACACCCAAGTTCCAAAGCTGGTCCAGGTCAGTCTGTCCACGCGTCTCCAGCTGAGCCACGCCCAGCCTCAGTGCTAAAGGTTGCGAGCGGGAGCCCCCCGCACAAAACCAACACTTCAACCCGAGGATGCCCGCTTCTGTGTGCGGTGAACCCTGAAACTTCTTCTTCGTGAACCTTTGCCCAGAGCTTCAGAGTTCAAGCACGAAGGTGTCAGGATTCTATGTACAGGGGATAAGGTGCCGAAACTTAAGGAGGTCTCAAGCTCCATACCGAAAGGCAGCGACACTGCGGTGATCCAGCGGCTGGACAAGCGGTCGTACCTGGGCATTCGAGCGGTTTGGGAACCTTCGTAATCACAGTTGTGGCGAAGGCTTGCGCTCTAAACCTTCAACCCTGAACAAAGGAGGACTCCGAGTGGGACATCTGACCCTGCACCTCGAATCCGACACCACTGTAATGCCGCTTCTTGCCTCCAGGCCTCAAGGCGTAAACCGCAAATAGACTGATAATTACCCCTCAGCCCCGAAACCCTACGGCAAATGTGTGAGCACTTCGTGCAATTTTGGTCTACGTTGGGGCTTCGGTGTCATCTGTGAGGCCGTGATTGTTCCTGAGCAACCTCGCTCTGGGAGCTTGTGTCAGGCTGTTGAAAATTGAACCTTCCGGGGCTTAAAGATCTCGGCATGCAGCAGAACTGAAGCTTCAGATGGAGCCTGCTACACTCCTAAACCCTGAACAGCCAAAGGTGCGGCTTGTCCGGCTTCCGTAGGAAGAGCCGGGCATGGTACATGAAGTCGTGAGCTGAAGCAAACATCTTCTGTGTGGTCGCGCAGATGTGCTGGTATCTCCTGAAAGTTCAGGAGAAACTTCGGGGATCCAGATTGTAGGGCATTGGGCTTGGGTTCGCGACCGTGTCAAGCTCCTCCCACGACCACCGACGCAGAACAACAGCATGCAGGATCTTCATCTTGTATGATGGTTCTTACGATGACGACGACTACTTGCTGCTGCTGCTGCTCCTACTCATGCTCCCTCCACTCCTCCTCCTCCTCCTCCTCCTCCTCCTCCTGCTCCGGCACCTCCTCCTCCTACTTCACTACTACTAGCAGTACCACCACACCGCCACACCACCACCAGCGCAACCAGGACCAGGACCAGGACCAGGACCAGTACCACTACCTTCAATCCTGAACACCCTCACGCAATGTCGATGCCATGGTGCCCAAAACACTGGTTCACATAGAAGGCCAGGAAAAACGTGACCATAATGGATATCATCTTCCTTGGCATCGGATGTCTTGGGATCACCGCTCATCACCCAAGCCGAAGAAATTCCAGTCTTGGAGCAAAGTCACATGAAGCCTGGACACAGCACAACCCGGCATGCTAAGCCTCCGTTCCGAACTTTTTCCATGTCCCATTGGGCCTTGAATTGAGCGCCTGAGCCACCTGAGACCTCAACCCAAACAGCTGCTGTAGGCACAACACAGGGACTAAAAGCCGTCGATCGGGTACCCAGTTGCAGATTCTCAACAACTCCAACGACATGCCGGTTCTGCAAAGACCTATCTGTACAACCTCGGAGCGAGCCTCTGCGAGCCTCTGCTTCCGATAATACTGTGCAGAAATGAGCTAAACTCTAAGCCTACATGGCCTATAGCACCCTGCATTTTGCAGCCAAAGGTCAGGTCGACCCAGCAGTCGACCCAGTCGATGCCAACAGTTCCGAGGTTGCCCCCGCGATTGCCCTTCCATCCGGCGTTGTCCCTCCATCCGTGCTGGAAGAGTCCCCATACCATCCTTGGAAGCCGTGGGATGACATCACCATGATTGTGACATCATGCCGACATGCATATGGTCGTTGGCACAGGTTTAAACAATCTGATTGAACTGGAGGGCTATTGGTCCGCGACAGCAAACATGCCACGCTTGGGAAGGTTACGACACTTGCTCTCCTACCCCCTGGGCATGATAAATTGGATGCAAATCCAGGTCCAGACAAGGGTTCAAAAACTCCAAACCCAGACAACCCAGACCCCAAAACCTGAAAGTCTTGGCAGCGGCTCATGTGTAGCCCGAAGAAGAGCCAGAAGTCCGCGCGCACGAGGACTCGGGGGAAGATGGAACTCCTTGGTGGTTTCAAACAGCTCATGGGTTTCCCGAATGCCGAAATTAATGTGGCAGCTCTTTTAGTAATTTGGGCCTCTTT